AATTATTGATTAAATTTAAACTAATATTTTTCGGGTTAAATCCTATAGCATTTGGTCCTAATGACTTATTAAATAATTATAGTGTTCCAAGTTGGCAACTAATCGATTAATCAATTTAATCGATTGACTAGCTAATTGATTATTATACCAAAAATATCTCAAAAAATTCTTCGCAACCGATTAAATTGTAAGATTAGGTCTAACGTAAGCTTTTTTAAAAAAAAAGTCACAACTAGTCGACTAATCAGTTAATCGATTAATCAATTAGTTGATTTTTTAATCGACTTTTTTAAAAATTTTTGACCAACTAATTGATTGCATTTTTTGGCCAGATTCAAAACATTCTTCTATTAGTTTAACTAGAAGTAGCCTACTCCGGAGCCACTCCAGGTTGAGACTAACCCAAGTTGAAGTGAGTGTAAATTATATCTAAATTTGAAATAACCTAAAGTAGATTCTGGAGTAAACTCGGAATAGAATTTTCCGGAGTAAGCTTAATTTAATAGAGTGGGTTGAATATTGAATTAATCCAACCCAACCCTTTAACCAGCTTACGTTTGACCTCAAAGCTAAGTTAACTGCTTATAGGTGTTTAGGCACCTTCTTAATAGTAAAGATTAAATGGTATAAACCTACTTACCAGGAAATTCACCTATAACGCCACGTAATCTACCCACCCACCAATCATTAGGCCCCTCTCCTCTCTCAAGTACTTCAATTACGTCGCCTGCCTTGAAACTTAAATCATTTTCTTCTTTTCCCATATAATCAAACATTGCCACAACAGTTGTTTTAACATTTTCTGCTCTGTTTCTTCGATATAATATAAAACCAGAAACCACTAATACACTGACAAATATTATACTGCCTATTACACCGCTCACTATTACACCTACAGACTTAGATGATGATGATGATGGTGATCCGGGTGACTTTGGAGTCTGGGATGAATTTCCAGGCAAATTATTCGGACTATTCGGATTTCCACTTGCTATGAAGTTCGTTAATGTCATGTTGCTGCTGTCTTTAGTGACATCAGAGATTGCAATTCCTGACAAATTGTTATTATGTATAAAAACGAGTTTGGCAGATAATGATTGAAAATCTTCATAAGAGACATAATAGTATTGATTAGGTTGGGAAGTTATTTGTTTGTAGATATATGGCTGTTTGGTTTTATTATCAAAGACACGGACCCATTCTGATGATGTAGTTGTATTTGTATAACAAGGTGATAATAATTGAGAACTTAAATTTTTCCATGACCAAGATGCAAAAGTTCCACATGAATCTGAAATAATCTCATCAGCAAAGTCTGAACTTTGAATGTTTAGAATTGTAAAAACTCGATTATCAATATCTCCAATATTATTGGAAGAAAAACCTTCGACAATTCCTCCAAAATCAACGCCTAAAACTAATTTAGATTTATTAAGAACATTAATCCAATTCATGATTATGCTATTAATATCGACAATTCCAGCACTTGCATATATGCTTGCGTTGTTTATATTAAGATGAAATGCCTGAAATTTATTAATAAATAAATTAAATAAATGTTTACAGTTTCATCTGTTAAAAAAATTAAATCTTACCTGAATATTCACAAAACTAACTATATCTCCGATGTTATTTAAAGGATACTGGCCTGCCGTAATGGTTAAAATCTTATTTTTATTAGACCGTTTTAATTTAATTAATGTATCATTTAAGAACTGCGTGAAAAAATCATCAAGATTAATGTTCCCATTTATCGTTGTTGGAAAGCACGGAAACTTCCTAGGGTAATCAATGTCAATCTATAAGGTAACGAAAAAAATTAGTTAACGCCAATAACTATTGAATATTAAAAAAAACTTTAGTTATACTTACTCCATCGAACGAATAATTATTAACTACGCCTACTAATTCATTAACAAATTGCCGAGTAGTTTGATCATTTTGATCATAGGCCTGACCATCCCCACCCCGACCATTTCGGGCCTGGCTAAAAGGAGGAAATCTGATTAAATCAGGCTCATTAACAGGTAACAAGACTGAAAGAATTAACTATAAAATAGCAAATTAGTCATTTCTATAGTAAGTCATTTAAATATATTCAGTATTTTTCCTTTAGACTATATTTTATTTACTTGATATTTCAGATTTCTACTTTTAGTATAAGTTTTCAATTCATTAAATTTTTCGATTTGTCTTGAAAAAGTTTGGTTTGGACCACTATCATTATTTAATAAGTCATTAGGACCAAATGCTATAGGATTTAACCCGAAAAATATTAGTTTAAATTTAATCAATAATT